GTAACGAAAATCTCGTCGTGTAACGCTTCTACAATTAACAAATCTATTTTTCACTTCAAAATTCAAATATATAATTTTAATTACAGTCATCGAAACATTTCTTCTATATTTTTTATGGATTCTGTGGCTTGAGGACAAACTGGAAAATATTTTTCATTGATATTCTTCACGATAATATAGTAACGTACTCAACAGCTCTGCAATGACTGAAAAATGATCTTTCGTGAGCCTTCATACAAGTTACTATTATAACACATAAATAGTAATAAAATAGTAATGAAAAAAGTAATTGAAATATCAAATAATTAAAAATTTTAATAAAATTTAACCTATAAAATGACAAAATATTTTCTGTAATTCTTGTTGTTTAGTTCAACAGAAACTAAGGATTATTATAAATGTTCCTCAATTTGCGAATCTATATAAATCTGTAAGTCTATATAAATTTGTAATTTCTATATTTTGTAAATCATGAATACTGTAAAAGAAATATGATAATACACACCTAATCCCCATAAATGTTGCTCCCACCCCTGAAAACCACAAGTTACACAATTGATTCACCGGCAAGCTCAATCATGAGCAACAAGACACACCCCCTTCGCGTAATTTCCCCTGGAAACTTTATAACTCAGCGGGGCAGACGGATTAGACGCGTTCAGGAAACATGATTTATGCCAGCTTAATAGTTTCACGTCGGTGCTCGACCTTCGAACAGCTCGTAATCCTTTTTATTACTTCAAAAGACAGTTCACCTGTGACAGGTCTATCTACGTATGTGGAATTCGGGTATAATGCAGCGAAAAAAGTCGTAGCAAGAAATAAAGTATCTCGAGGAGTTCATAAAAGTCGTTGCTTTTACTGAAAACGCGCTCTTCTGTCCATTCGGTAGCTATCGAGGGGCTATCAACTTTTTTTTCTTTTTTTCCTACACCTGATTCACTTTCGACTATGTATTGGGTTTGCTGCATAAGTTCTGTCCGCCACTTCGTTCGCATGAACTGTCTGTCGGTGACTAAATTAGTCGAGGAAAATTCTGAGTTTTGTCCTGAAAATCCTGAATCTGTAATACTACATCTGAGCGTGGAATTTAGAATTCAAGGGAGTCTTAGGAACGCTGTTTAATTTCTAATTTATATTTATTGATTAAGTTTTTTTTTATGTATTATGTATATATAAATTATTTATTAATTAATATAAATTATAGATTAAACAGTGTTCGTCAATTTATAAATGATTGTATTTGAATATTGGAACTTATTTTTTATCCACGATATTTCTGGCAACAGATTTTCACATTTTTCTATCAAAATCTTCAATAATTTTGAAGCCGTAAAAGGAGCAATAAGTTTCTTTTTTAACGATAAATCCCAAGATTTTGATGAAAGGAGGTATTGTCCGGTACCGAACCATAATTCATCTTTACATTTTTTAACCATCAGCTCACTTCTCCCACACCCACAATCCTAAAAGTCCAAATTTGCCAACCTCCAACAATCATCATCTCCACTTGAAACACACCTACAACTACACTCTCTCCAACATAACCAAATATACTCTGTATGCTCAACCACCAACACAATTTCTCAGTTAGTAGCGAGGGAACACGCGCGCCACCTAACATAACCTATAATTTAGGACAAGTCCGTTACACATAACGACAACTATACACCATTCCTTTTTGTATTTATTGTAAAAATTTAACTAGTTGAATTAGATGATAAGTGTAAAACTTGTCGAGACATTTTTAACCCAACCACTCTTCTCTAAATTGATTTACCTGATTAGTTTGACGCAGACCGCCGTTCCAATGAAAATCGTCAGTCACACGATACGCGAACGGTACAGGTATAGCAACTTCTCCATTAGATGGAAAATTGTCATAAATACATAATTTGATGTAGATAAGTATAAGCTGTTTTCAAAAATCGAGTTTGTAAAAGACGTACTGTGACAGACAAAACTTATCCAGCAACCTAATATACAGGGTGGGCTGCGAAAAACAGGCCATCTAATTATCTTCTTTAACTATGGTGGTACGAGAAAATTTTTCTACGTAATTTTTTAACGTATATATTTTCTTCTACTGTATTTAAGCGTGCACAGTAATCTAACCTTAAAATGTCGTTGTATTCTAAAATTTTAAATAAAAAATGTGAAACTTCTTCTCATTTTTTGTCATTTCTTCCATTAAATTTCCGTTTAAATTAACGTATAAAAATTGTCTCGTACTTTCACAGCTACAAAAGATAATTAGGTGACTCGTTTCACTTGGACCACCCTGTATATTGCGAACGCGATTTTCAGCATACACACGACGCCCTTTTATTTGGTTCTGTGTTTCCACTTACGCGCCTGTTACACACCGACTCCAACAGTTTTCTCTTTTCTTCCCTTTCTATTCTATCGTTGTCTCAAGTTTTATTTTTTCCCCTCCTTTCTTTCCTTTTTTTTTCCTCTTTGTTCTCGTTGGAAATCTCGGACTTCTAGGAAAGAAGCAAAGGATTGTGTCAGTCCTAGGGATCTGACCACCCACGTGGACTAGGGCTTTACAGCCCGGCCGAATATCCGGATACGGGATATTTTCGGTAACTTTAAACCGCAAAATGTAGCACAAGATTATATAGAGCTCTTTCTCCTTTTTTTTTTTTTTTTCGTAGGAAAAGAGATAAGGTAAACGGTAGCACCAGGAAGCCACTTTGGATTATGTGTCTGATGCTGGAGGTCTAAGAAGAAGAAAAAAGAATGGAACTAGAATTTCCTTTCTTTTCTTTTTGTTTATGAACATCGCTTTAAATCGTATCAAATATGGAAATAAAAGACAAAATAGTACACCTTGTTAGAATTTATTTAGGGTTGTATCATTTCAATGGTGAAGATAGTAGATGAATAATATTCACGTTATTTTATTTAGAAACATAATACTGTTGGTGCAAAGAAAAATGATTTATATTCATTTGTTAAATATTAAATTGAGGAAAAAGAATAATGTAGCAGAAATGAGATGGAAAAACGTTTCCGTAGATACTGTTTCTGAGAATTCAGCAAAATGGCTGCAAACAAGGCAGATGTTTATATTTTATTTATTTAATTATTAAAATTTTTTAATTCTAACTTTTATTCATTAACTGTTTATTTACTTAATTAATAAAACTGTAAAGATAAATTGGATAATTCTAAATTAAAACATACATTAATTATTGTTCTTCTTTTTCAGCACAAATTCGAATTAAACTAAATAGTTGTGTTAAAAGTTCAATTATTCCTAAACTTTGAAATAAATTACACGATTCACGATCTATCAAGTTCGTGAAGAAAGTTTTCTCGAATTTTACTTCCGGTTATTGTTCAGTTTATTCACAAGGTGCGAAAAATTTTCTATACAATTGAATTGATCGCTTTCCGCTTGGTTATTAGTCAATTTGAATGTCATACGAAACCGCATCTACTCGCGACAAGTAACTGGAGAATTGGTGCACTCTTTGGTGAAATCTTTTCCTACGAAACCGTAAACAGGTTCTCGTGATTGTTGCTTTTATGTAAAGGGATGTTATTCCGCGTCAAGGATCGCAGTGAGTAATCAAGTTTAAAGGATAACTGAGGATTCCTCGGGTATTCGAGGTTCTTTTGGAACTCCGATTAATATTAGGACTGTGTGGGTCCGAAATGACCCCCATCAGTAACTTTCCAAAAGTGAATTTTTGCGTAATTAAAATTGTGAAAGCTTATGTTACTAAAATTGTAAAATTGTGTATTAAAATTGTAAAATTGTGAATTTGTATGTAATAAAAATTTAAAAATTGTGAATTTCTATGTAACTAAAATTGTACAATTGTGAATGTTTAGGTTACTAAAATTGCAATATTGTAGAATAGTGAATTTCTATGTAATTAAAATTGTAAAATTGTGACAGTTTGTGTTACTGAAATTCTGAATTTCTATGTAAATGAAATTAAAAAATTGCGAATTTCTATGTACCTAAAATTGCAAAACTGTGAAAGTTTATGTTACTAAAATTGTAACATTGCAAATTTGTGAATTTTTATGTAAATAACATCGACGTGACTATGATTAAAAATTTAGATTCACATCGATACAAATAGAAGTGCATATACACGCAGAAGACAAAGTCAGAATGTTGCACACGTTAATAATTACCAGAATCGAACATTCACTTTTCTTGGAAAGTTGCTAATGGGTCATTTTGACCCGTTCAGTCTATCCAGTGTTTAAACTGGATCCTCTTTAGGTTTCAGTCGAACACGAATTAACTTCTGGCTTCATTTGGGGTTGATAAAGTAGCCGCAGGTTCATCAATCATGGTTTAATTAGTCTGTATTAATCACCATTTTTGGGCGAGTTGTGAAAGATTGATTTTGTTAATTGCGTACGTATTGAACGAATTTCGAACCTTGGCTTGGTGAAAGTATTTGTACAATAAGATCGTTTAATTAAGTCTTTTTATTTATTTTAACGTAAATATCAATTATATTTCACAGATATATCGTGAGTACATTTTATTTCGTGGAATTCAGTCTCAAATTGTGAGACTTTTCCAAAATTACGAGAATTTTTCAAGTATTCTCTGGAAGTGTTTATGTTGTTAAAGGTCGATTTTTCGTTGGAATAGTTTTTACGTTTAACATGATAAAACAATTACAGTAAGGGAGACCGAGGCTGATTGTCACACGTTTCACTTAACAATTTTTTCAGTTTAATTTTTTAGAAGAAAAACGCAATAAATAATAAAACATGACAATTCAGACACCAAACAGTTATTTACAAAAGGCAGTGAATGCACTGTCGGCCAAAAATTTTGGATCACGGTGCATTGCAAGTTGTACAAAAATTTGCAGAAAAATGTTTGCAATTTTGGGAATTTCTTAATGAATTTTGTATCATGCGATCGAAATCAGGTAAATTGATCTCCACAGCATCAATTTCAAATCTATAAGAAATTAGTAGCTGATTCAATGTTTATGTAAATTGACAAGGGGGTACGTTCGCTGTAATGAATCTGTCGGCCATTTAACAACGAAATTATGCGAAACGTGACAACCAACCATATATTTTATAATTGAATACGGTAAACGTAATCAATGTTGTTGGGTTGCAAGAACAATTTAGTCTATAGCTGTTTCCTTGAGACGGTCCTCGAGGTAACGTTGCCTGTATGCTCCTGTCGAATCGTATTTTGCCTCCAGAAGACTCCAATCTTCTTCTCTATGATCGATTAAGTAGTGTGAAAGTTTATCTGCAATTTCTTTCTGCTTCTCACTGCAGGCTGAACACTCGTGTTCTAAGGCATCGGGCAAGTTTTCTGTAATTTTAATTAAACATCAAGTTATTTAAACAATTACTATTTATTATTATTTGTTACGATAATAATTATTGAAATATTAATTTAAATGATAACAGCGGTACCATAATTGAATCTTAAATTGTCAAAAAAGATAGCAACCTTGATATTGCATAAATAATGCATGCAACCAGTTATTCGTTATATCAGTTTCACAGTGGAATAAAATTGATTTTACTTACACGCGGCACCAAATTTCGAGACCCTTTTAATTTCTCACACGTGGAACATAAATAAAAAATTAATTACCACTGATTAAATCTCAAATTATCGATTTTCACAATGGAGTAAAGTTGATTTTATTTATACGCGGCACGAAATTTCGAGGTCCTTTTAATTTCTCACGCATGAAAATATTAAAAAAAATTAATTACCAGTTTTATACCAGTGTTTCACGTAAATCGATGATTATTATTAAAAGTATCGAGAAATTATTTTCGAAGTAGGTATTTCAGAAATTTTGAATTTAAAAATGAATTCGTAATTTGGTTTATAAGCGTACAAGATTTTTTTAATGATATGTTTTATTATTATAATAACATTACTTTTCGCCCTAAAGTAAACATTTTACCTTTATTCACTTCTAACTCGTTTTATTAAAGGGAGAAGTATTGGGCTTCACAGACCCAGCGTCAGTAGCGGTGTGAAAAATTTGGCCGTCAGCCGCGGAAGGTTAAGCATCAAAATTTCGAATTTTTCCAACGGAAACGTTCTTTGAACAATTCTTCCAATAGTAAAACTATTATTATTATTAAACCGCAACGCAGAATTAATGCTTTTGTAATACGGTGGTAAAAGTGTGTCAAACATTGTGGAAATTATTTTAAATAACGTTTCATTTCAATGGTGTTAGGTTTTTTTCAAAATGAACGGCATAAATCCGCGGGAATTTCCAAGATGGCCTAATGTTAGGTTCGAATTTTCTACTTTAGATCAATATTTCCAAGAAACCTTCAAATTTGATATTATACCTTTTCATTCCACAACATTTTTCTTTTTTTTTCTTTTTGATAAGACCGTTATGTCGTTGCTATAGCATTCCCTTGGATTTTCATTTAAATATTTTTCGCTTTTGGGCACGTATTCATGGGATGACCTAATACTCGCCAGAAGACACGTAATCCTTTTAATGCACAACCTTGCCCCCCTTCCCGGAATAGTAACAAGGATCGTAAAAGGACGGCATACTATGTAGCAAATTAGCTGAATATTCATACGAGCACCTGGACGTATCATAATTGACCCGTCCAGTATTTCTCTGAGCGGAGGTGCTTACGACCTTCGCGATGATGCACTAAAGTCACAGCAGGAGCTCCTTACACGCTCTTACTTTCTTCTATGCGTCATTGTTACACGACCAAGAGAATTCAGGGGAAGATCGACCAATCTGATATTGTCTCTCTTGCGCCAAATCCACGAATGTGCAAATTTTCATTTTTTGGGTAAAAATGTGTAACGAATGTGACTGAAGAAGGACACATAATATAATATCTTAGAGTAATAGAAAATAAAAGTAATAGCATAATAAAATAGTATTTTTAGTTAAATTTAAGTATCGAGAAAATTTCAAAATTTTCTTTTCCCAGAGTTACGTGGGATTTTATGATTTGCATTTAATTCTGAATTTTTGCAATTTACTGAATACCACATTCATGGTATTGAAACGAGAAGGAAGATACGATTTGCCTGTTTATTTAGCTAGCTTTTAGAAGGGTAGGTACATACCTAAGCAGAGTTAAAGATGAGCTGTTCTTGAAATCTTTTTTCAAAGAAAGTATCAAATCTATTAATCTACAGTCTACACTCGCATGTGATAAAATTCGGAATGCACTAGGAACTTATTGACGTCTTCGACAGTCTTCTGAAACGTTGAAGCGAAATGTGTATTGCGGCAGAAGGAAATAATTTTCAGCAATTTCTTTAGGCAAATCTTAAGTTGAAATTTAAATAATGAATTTATGTAAATTTTATTCAATTTCATTTCCTACAATACACCATCGTAAACAAATTTCGATCGTCGAATTATTACCATTCAAGGTGTCCATCATTCTCTCAAAGTATTCGTCAACAAGGAAGAGTTCCCGGACCTACGTTTTCATCTTTAGGACGAGTAGAGTACAGTAACAAAGTTGAAGTTCTGTCACTTATTTCGGTGTGCACAATTTCAAACCGTAAAAGGTAAAGTAGTTAAACTAGATAATCCTAATCTTAGGACTTTTAATTCACGTCGAAAGTTAGGTACTCACTTTTAAGTTCAGCAGCATCTGGTGCGCAAGCACCACGATTCATTAAACAGTTCACGTATGCGTTCAAAAGTCTCTCACTGTTCAACACAGCGTCGATATTCACGTCGTCGTACTTCGTTGTGTACTTCTCCTCGGAGGATACTTCTTCACCGAGCAGGAAGCAGATAGCAGACACGAGGGTAATCAGGACAGTCTTCATCTTGGTTGCAGAGATTCGCTTGTTGCTGGCTTTTTCGATCACTGAATGTCGAGCTCGTTAGCGTGGGCATCTTATATGTCTCGGGTATGGCTCGTTAGTCGCACGAAATCGCGGCTTATTACTTATAATACCTAAAGGAAATTGAACCTACCACGTAAATCGTTAAGAAAAATGCGCACGAGAGGATCATTTCCTTCTACGCTAGGATGTCGTTAGATCAACCAATGTACGCACTTGTCCCTCTATTTATATACAAGGCTTTTTTCTTATATATGGCCACTAATTTCTCCGTTTACGCGGCGCTTTTTGTACACGGTGTCGATTTTATGCGATCGGAGAACAGATTTTTCTACGATGTTTGTTGAATTTTGCCGTGTGTGCTGGTGATTACGAATGTGGCTTAAGGGAAGAATCTAAAGAAATTGAATTTATCATTTATTTGTGGTGTGTCGATTTACATTGCAATAATGTGGAACCATTTTTGCAGAATAGTCGGAAATGGAGTTGGTAGGTGTGTGGTTAAATAGAATTCGGCAATACACCGAAAGGAAAAACGTCAATATTTCGAAACAAACATTTATCACTGTAGCCACTTTCATAATCACCGATACATACAGGGTGGGCTAAGTAAAACAGGCCACCTAATTATCTTCTGCCAGTTCCAGAAAATGTTCCAGAAAATTTGTATATTTTATAAATTTAGGATTTCTGAATTTCTAAATTTATGAGTTCTAAATTAATTAATTTTAATTTTAGAAATTCTAAATTTATTAAATTTGTAAAATATGAAAATTCTAAATTTACTAAATTTGCAAAATATAGAAATTCTCAATTTAGTAAATTTGTAGAATATCAAAATTTAGAATTTCTAAAATTGACTTAGGCCACTATTCCAGGCCGCTAATTTACAATTTCTAAATTGAAATGAAGAATTCTTTAATTTATTTAAATTCAGAATTTCCCATCCGACAAACCACATCTACCTCTCTTCTGTCTCGCGCGTGAACAGAATTCCGATAATTTGCGAAATTTCCAGTTGTATTCAAATCGATTCGACGCATAATTCCGACTTTTCCTTGAATGACTGTACGACACAGACGCAAATCGTTCCGTGTTTGTAACTCATTATAAATACTCAGCATTTCCTCGGTACAAGGTTGACTTCGTAGAACCGTTTGTCAACAGGGATGTATATAATTTCCTGGATTCAATAAGCCAATATAAAACCAGAAATGATACTATTTTCAGAACGTTTTATATGCCGCTCAGGCGTCTCAGCCTTCGTAGATTCATCATGGTAAATGCGCGTTTAAAGTTCTTGTTTCTTCCTCATGAAATCTGAGACTTCTTGTCGACTTTCCTACGTGAGATTTATACGTAGAGATGGCCTCACCATTTTTGACGATATCGTGCTTTCCTTAAAAACTACTCCTAGGATCCTAGATTTGAACCTTGACCGGCGTCATCGAAACCTTGAGACGTGATACTCACGCTACGACATCTTTTCCTGAATAATAATATCGTGTGACATCCAACGTTTACCGTAGATTCGAATAAAACCTGTTCAAACAAATTTTTTTCATTGTTTAGACAACCATTTCTATGATTTCTTTTCGCAGTTTTTTAGGCTCTTGTGAAAGTATCGTGAAATCGCTCCAAATTACCACTTTTTTGACATTTCTACGTCGATACAGGTTTTCAAAATAAACATTTATGCGAATAATTTGAAATATTGAAGCTTGAAGCAATTGTGAAGATTTTGATTGCCTATATAAGGGTTAAACGGTGTAATTTAGTGATAAACCTTATTTTCAACGTACTCTAATGCTCAGTTTCTTCTTATAATCAATTTTTACTTTGTATTACTTTTATTTTCCAGCAACACGTCGTCTCAATTCGAACTTAAATCTTAATTGTAACGTGCAGTAGAATGTTACAAATTATTAACTTTCGAGGTTCCTACATTTTTCCGTTTCTGTGTACACTCTTGTTCCTAAGTATTTGGAAATTTAACACGCTGAGTGCCGCCTGGGTCACTTTTGACCCGCGTTGGATTTTTCGCTCAGGCCGTTTAGTAGTTTCATGTAAGAAGAAAAATTATCGCAAAATGTGTCGTAATATTGCTTGCAGTCGTCACACCGTGGATCATCGGTGACACACGTGGCACAGTGATATGGTTTCAATTCGCTAAGTGGCATACTAGTATTGAAAAAGTAACATAAATAACGAATGCAGTAACGTGGGTCATCGGTGACCCGCGTGGCACAGTGATACGTTTTCAATTCGCCAGGTGACATACTACCATTGAAAAAGTAACATAAATAAGGAATGCAGTAACGTGGGTCATCGGTGACCCAGGAATAAATTTCCTTTCATTTTGTGCTGTTATGCTTTCAGCCAAAAGAATCATCTAGCCGATTTAATAATTTGAAACTACAGCACGCTAAAAGAAGAAATGTAATTTAACCCTTTGCACTCGAGAGACGACTAAGAAGCGACACTATATTTACCATTAGAGGCAACTCTAAGGATATTTTCCAAGACAGCGGGTCTACGGACCTCCGTGAATTGTTCGCTACATGTTTAGAGATCTCAGCAGTGAAATAGTTTGAAAGAGAAATACTTCTAATAAAAATATTAGTTTTAAAAAATTGCATCAATTTTCTACTTCCTTTTAGAAGAAAGGGCCTTCGAGTGCAAAGGGTTAAACTTCATACTTTCTGTACGAATACAACGGGTGTCCTAATACTTACGAACGACACTCTAATTTTCTCAAATTTCAAATTAATTCTCAACAACTAATATCCTAGCATACATCCTAAACTAAACGTATAAACTTACGAACAAACACCTCGAATCGCATAACTCGAACAGTCAAAATTAAAATTCGCTGCGTTGGGTGTCGTACTCCTCCGTCTCCGAATCCTCGAATTCGGTGCAAGCGTAGCAAATCCTCCCCACGTCTCTCCAGCATTCAACGCAGTGAACAAAGGGACATCCCGGAGTGGTGCACTCCAGATACTTTGGTCCTCTTCTAGGCTCTGGATCGCCGCATATCAAGCACCTCTCCCTGGCGCAAGCGAAGAATTTCAGCCATCCGAAGCGATCTGGCCACTTGAGTCTCACCGCGAGCCAAAAATCAACTTCGTTCTCCAAACGACGCGTTCTCACCGTACTCTTCACTTTGGCCTTCATGAATCTCGCGTGTGCGATTCTCCGTCGTAGACTCTCGTTGTACAGGTACAACACTCGTCTCTTTTCCCTTTTTCGATAGAAAAACGAGCAGACACCGCGACGCGTTCTTTCCGTGTAGACGGATAGGAAAATGAGTAGGAAAACTGCGAAGAAAGTGCCGTAGATCTTGAGGATCAGGCGAGTGGGCAGTTTCGTTGGTTGCGGGAGGCAAGCACTGTTCGAAACTACGGTTTTGATTCGTTTCTTCACGTTGAAACCGTGGACCGTCGTTCTGATCAACGAAGCGATCACTCCTGTGCCGCGGATCTCCAGTGATAGATCGTGATGCCCCGCCTGGAAGAGGAAATTGTTTTAGATTAATTGCAGGTGTATATTAACGCTTGTGCAATAAGTGTCATTTTTTTTAATTATTTTCTTCTTATTATGGCGAAAACGTAGGTTACGGTCTAGGAAATAATTTAAAAAGAAGAATTGATCATTTTTGCATATCAAGTTGAGAAAAATATGAGTCTTAAGGGATTAACCCCTTAACCTATGATTTCTTTTCTGACTGTGCATCTAAGCGTCAGCCATTTAATGTTTTAGTACTGTATCAGGTAACAAAAGCTAATCTGTTACAGATTAATTACGTTTATGAATCCTTAATCTTACAAGTTAAAACGAAAGCTAGGATTACAATTAATTTTTCTTGTTAATATAACTATTTTTCTCACATCTTCATCAGAATCTCTGCCACGAGTCTGACACGTTGTTGTAGATTAAAGGGTTAAAGTGGTAGCAATTGCAAGTGTCAAATTTTATAGACATCGCGTTTTATTGTTTATAATTTTTGTTGCTTTACTCTGGAGCATACACTGCCGTTCATAAGTACCTATTAGGACACCCCTTATCTTCGTACGGAAGGTATCGTATAATTTAAGTTGCATTTCTCAGTCAAATTTAGTACCACACATCAGCAACAATTTTGTATTACGTTATATTACGACATCTCAGGCTGAATAATTTTCTTCTAATATTATTCACAATATTACAAATAATTTAATTAATAATGACATAAAAATGGCTATATTAACAAATAAATTAAGTATTTTCTCAATATTATTTTACAAATTACAACTTTTATTTTATATTATAGGTTTTAATATTATTTATATCATTTAACTATTACATTTCCAACTACAGGTGTCCTCAATTGACGCGGTAGTTTTTGTGCGCGATCTTAATTTACGCGGCGAGAAAATATATTTCCCTCGAAGTGTACACAGTAACTTATTCGACGATGTTGAAACGCGTCAGTGCTGGACGAGATAAGGATAAAAGTACATTACGTTGCGCTAGTCATCATATGTGTACTTGCTTAGAAAAGCATCGATAAGGCTGCGGCGGCAGACTTCATTTCCGCGATTTTCGTTCGCGTAAAACGAATCCACGCGGAACGGATACTCCGCGTAAATTGAGGGACACCTGTACTTTCCTATCGTCTACAAATCACACGAACACATCGACACATTGCACGCGAATAAATCTTACTTGAGTATACTCCATGTGAGCGTGCCTTCTGACAAGATCCAGCACCTCGTAGAACAGCCAATCCAAAATGACGAAAACAGTCGCAGTGATAAGTTCAAGCATCAATTTGACTATTTGTCCCGTCATTTGAAATCCCTCTGCCTTGCTCGGTCTCAAACTGTACGGATCGACGAATTTACTCCTCTCGATCTTCTTCAACGGTAACAGCGTCGTGCTACCGCGAGCTTTCCTTCTCGCGTCTATTCTTCGGAAATAAGGAGTCACGTAAATATTGTCGTGTTCGATTTCTGTCAGGTACTTGTCGTGGTAACTTTGCGCGCTCAGGATGATTTTCAGGAATACAAACGACAAGCATCTCTTGATGATAGTCATCACGGATTCGAAGAGTTTCTGTCGCGCCGTGAACTCGTGTATCACCGCTTTCGCCGCGTACGCGGAGTCCTGAAGATCTAGGATCACCGACGGTTTTTTCATTTTGTATTGGAGCTTCGCGTCC